TATGTGACTTTGGTGTTGGGTTTGATACTTTACCTACCTTAGGCAAGTATATTGACTTTAACCTTTTGCCATGTTTTCGGTACGACCCCCCACACTAAACCCTACGATCCTACTTGCTTTGAGGAGCTTGCATAGGTATAGTATCAATACTCTAATTTCATATCCAACAGTATTAGATATATCCATCTGTCTATGGAGGGTTATATGGTCGAAACTTATTTATAGCCCATCTGTTTCTGTTTGGTCTTGTAATTGCTGGGGCTATTTTCCAATCCGTAGACTTTGGTATAGTGAGCCTTTGGTCTATATTGGTTTAGCTATCTAAACACAAACATACAGAACTGTAGAGCCCGGAAAGTGCTTGTTTATTAGTTCTCTAAGACTTTCCTCTTTGGTGTCCGTAAACATTAGCTTTGTTTAGGAAACCTGAAATATTATCTTATTATAGTTTCTTTCTTTTTAATGGTGCAGGAATAAACTGTTTTAATTATATTTAAACCCAATAACTTATTAGTAAATAAATTTCTTTATTTTATTTTTTTTGTAAAGACTGTTAAAACTCTGTCAAACTAAAATTCTCTTTTGATTTGTTCATTATTCGCAATTTATTCGTAAATTTTGAAAAATTGAACGATTAACCTCTATAATGAAGTAATTTGTATTTGTTTGTTTTAATGAAAGTTTTTGAAGTGATATGTATAAATAATTTTTGACATGAATGACCCAACTATGTGATAAAGAAATAAATTTTTAACAAAAATAATTAGTATATCACTAATATAAAGTCAAAACAGTACAGATATGTATATTATAAAAATTAAGTTTATTAAAAATTCGATTTTTTATTTTTAAATCTGTAAATGCAATAACCGATACGTGGATCAGTTTTTGCAAGATATTATGTATAACCCAATTCATGTTAAATATTCATTTAAATTAAAAAAAATAAGGGCTAATAATTGATGTATGTGATCAACAGTAACCCAAAGTTTATCAGATTACAAGACAAAAGAAACTTCTAGATTAAATTATGAATTATACAATAATGAAAAGGCGTACCACACTAAAAACCCAATATTTTGAGAGATTTAAGAATACCTCAGCAACAGAGGTATACCTTCACCTTGAGGAAAAATGTTCAGGCTCTGTGCAAGTCAGCAGTGGGCTATTGTTCAAAAGAAGTCCCAATCTTTTTTTGTGAGAAATGTTTTGTGTCGCTTCGACAGATCATGAAAACCTATTAAAAGCATACAATGCAATTCAAGAAAAGCAAATATTGTTCCGATTAGCTGCAAAGGATTTTTGTTCCGTTGGTCCCAACAATCTCCTCTCTTATCCATTTTTCACTGATGAGGAGACCGACTTATGCCAGTATTTAACTCAAGCGAGTTATATGCATTATTAACTTTCACGTCGCTCTTTGCAAACTTTAGCATTTGAATACTCTAAAGCCAACAATATGCCAGTCACACCGTCCTAGAATAATAATTCTCTTACCGGAAAACAGTGGTTTCTAGACTTTATGAGTCGCTATAAGCAACTTAGTTTAAGAAAGCAGAAGCCACCAGCTTCAACAAACACAATGTCTCATTTTTTTTCAAAATTAAAAGAAAGTCATGAATAAGCATACTTTCACACTCAGTAAAATATACAATATTGATGAGAGTGGTAACACTAGTGTTCACGTTCGTAGAAAAATTGTAGCTTGCAAGGGTATTAAACAAGTTGGTTCCGGTACAAGTGGAGAAAGGGGTACTAATGTAACATTTATTGATGCTATAAGTGCTACAGGGAATGTTGTCTCCCCTATGTACATATTTCCCAGAGTGAATTTTAAGCCCTGTATGCTGAAAGGTGCACCTGCTGATTCGGTGGGAACAGCTCATCCTAGTGGTTGGTCCAATGGAGTCATATTCTTAGAATATTTAAGGCATTTTATACATATCACAAAACCTTCCGTCTATGATAAAATATTTGTAATATTAGACAATCATGAAAGTCATATTACCACCAAAATCATCAACGTAGCTAAAGAACATGGGATCGTAATATTGACTATTCCACCTCATACGAGCCATAAGCTCCAACCTCCTCGATCGCAGTGTTTTTGGCCCATATAAAACTTATTATAGCAACGCGTGCACCGAATGGATGATAAGAAACCCAGGGAAAACCAATATCTATTTAAGATGTCGCTGAAAATTTCTGGTCAGGCATATAAATTAGCATTTAATCGCACAAATATTGAATCTAGATTCAGAGTTTCAGGGATCTGGCCAGTGAATGAAAATGTATTTCAAGAACACGAGTTCCATAGTTCTTCGATCGCTGATAGAGATAATCCTGCTAATATCAATGAAGACATTTATTTCAGACCCCTATTAATAATCAAAAAATAACTGCTGAGACTGAAGAATCAGAGCTACCATACAAGTCATCTGAGGTAGTTCACCCTTTACCTAAGGCACCTCCAAGAACAAACATACAAAAAGATCGTAAAAGAGGCAGGGAGTCTAACTGACACCTCAAAAAAATGAAATAGAAAACGAGCACGAGGAAAGAACGAACAAAAATATGAAGAAACTAATATTAATATAATATTATTATTAATAATAAGTTGCAATCAAACATATAATTTTATGTTGCTGAGACTTATTTACGATAACCGTTTTTCAATAATATGCATTTTTAAAGACATTTTTCGAAACCGAAAAAAAATATATCCAAAAATTATTTATAGACGGAAGACCAATTTTTATACAAGTATCGCTAAATCTATTTATTATGCAAAGCGCATAGTACTATAATCATTCATAGCCACCAAAATATATATGCACCAAATTGTTATGATGGTACTGGCCTCTACGAAAACATCGACGGTCAAGGCAACCAAAATTGCATATCAATATATTTGAGTCTAAAAATAAAACTATTTGTTTAAAAATAAATGTGGTATTGTTAAAAGAATTAAATCATGCAAATAATTACCAAAACAATGACTTTTAAATATATATTCTATAAATAGAAATGAAACAAGAAATAATCATCAGAAAGTACCTCAGTTTTTTTAGAGTTTTCTGTAATTAGTTCTAAAGCTTATTCAACTTGATGTAATATATTTAAATAAGAAATGACCTAAGAAAATACAAACAGTAAATTAAACAATTAAAAATTTTGTTTTAATTTACTGTTTGTATTTTGAGAAACGATTTCCGAAGTGGAAATTGAAACGTCAATAAACTTATTTTTATCTTTAATTGTGGCTTATTCCCAGTTAAATAGTAATTAATATAAGTATGATCTTTCGAAATATCATGTTTATGTAAAGCCCTAAATAATTCCTTTAAATTATCGTAACCAGATTCACACCACGGATTTTGATGGTTTGCCCCTATTTGTCGAAATAAAATGCAAGGCCAACAGAAAAGTTTGTTTTTTATTTCACTCCCGGTAAGCCATGAGTACTTGCTGTACCAATTATCTGAAATGATCATATTACTTCCCTTACCTGCACTAATATTATAAGCGGACATTTTAGGCAAAGGACGCCCCTTATTTTTAATAACAATTTGTTCTTCGTATGGAATAGATGAAAACCATTATGCAAAATATAATTTACAATATCAGACTTATTAATACTTACAGTTTCTTCCATGGCTTGAATTTTTTAGGTTAATTTACTTGAATTTGTTTACACTTTAATTAAAAAAAACTTCTAATATGTCAAAAAACCCTTTAACCTTTAACTATTTACGGCAGACGTAACATATCACAGTATTACTTTTAGAAAATAAAAATAAATCACAAAAGAAAGGCTTGTTCGTTGCACAGAATATCACTTCACTTTACTAGTTACGTTCTTGTATGAAATAACATTTTATATGAATATTGAATACATGAACATTGAATACTGAACATCACAGTTTTTTAACAACAAGATGTATAATCTTTTACAACTATTTGTAATTTAAAGGGTTTTTACCCATGTATTTTGGTGGCTCAGGCATTTTAACCTAGCAATTTTAAAATTTAAATCTGATGATGGACTGTTTATCCGAAACCGTTTGTTTTTTTGATGTAGCCCTTTTAAGGGTTTTTAAATAAATATACCCACTTACGAAGACTAACCTTTTTTTTTTATAATAACATTTCATCAACAAACGTCGGCAAATTTAAATTTGCCGTACTTGGTCATTAAGTTCGTATGGAAAAAAAATGTATATTTGGTTGCTAATCAATTAATATTCCGTTGATTTTTACAAGTAAATCGGTTAAGGCTAGGATCGGCTTGCCGAAAAAACAAAACGTGCCTTTTTAAGAAGTCACAGGCGAAATGGATGTCTCCGATATCACATCATCAATTTGAAAAGTGTCTACGCAGGGATACTTAACGCTTAGATTAGACGAGTTATTTTAAAAAACACATGAATCAAATTTAGTCTTTATTATCTCACAGATATTTTTTTATTTCACAAAAACAAATGACATCAACTTATTATCAAATGATTACCTGCCACAATTATTTATTGAAATACTGATTAAATTAAATATTAAAAAATCTATAATATCTATAAAGGTGTAGGCCGACCCTGACCGGCCGCCACTGCTTAAAGATATAACTTTATCAAATCAGGATCCGTTTCTCCAAACTAAATTACCTAATGGGGCACCCTTTATAAGTATATTTAAATTCTGTTAAAAAAAAAACGCTATATGAATGTAGGCATCATTACCCAAAATTGACCCCAAAACTTATCAGCAGATCATCAAGATAAGTTATTATTTCTAATTCAAAAACAATTCCAAAAACCAATTTGTTTTTATTGTTATATTATTATTAACTATTAAGCGTAAAATAGATTAAAACCTCGGTGACCGTTTCCCAATAAATCTCTTTGATTATTCATATTATTTAAAAGCTGATATAAACTAATCAATCGTAAAATACATTGTTACTTATCGCGGTAATGCTAGACACTTGTATTTTATGTCGGCTCGATGGTGTGTGCTTCAAAGATAATAAATCGTATTGATCACTGTGATTTTTTACAATATCCCAAAAAATATAACATGTACGTTAGAACTAATATATTTGTGAGAAATGAACAGTGCAAGGAATCATGAAAAACAGTGATGTGAACAGGTATATTTTTTATCATTTATTTGTTATACTCCGTTTGAAAATTATGGATAGCAGAGTGTTTATGACACAGCTGAGAATTTCTAAGGTAATGTCATAAAAGAGTGATGAACGATTTCAAAAATATTTAAATTTTCTTGTCTCAAATGTTTCACCGTTCGCTCTAATCTGGAAGTCGTAAGTTCTCGCGTAAGGTCTGGCAGACCCGATTCCATTATTACGTCTAACATTAGGTACCACCAAAAATCATGTTTTTTTTTTTCGAAATCGAAAAGTTGTCGATTATTTTTGTTTTTTTTCCAACGAAATCCGAGATTCCTAATTTCCAACCGCAATATTTTCTTTGCTTCCTTTATAATCAAATTCTTCAACAAATCTCTTATAAATTTTATTAACAGTAGATACTTGTTTTCAGTTATATGAAAATTATTTATTTGCCGATGTAACAGATCTTGTTCTACTGAGTGACAAAACCGGATATATTTCCAGCTACAATTTCACGAATTTTGTGATTGAATCCAAATAACCAGCGTAAGTAGAAAAGTTAATGATATGACTCCCAATCGAAAATCAGAGAAATTAAACCATCTATAAAAACATGATGGAGATCGTTTTAACTAGGTTAGAATTGATCGATTACGTTTAGGTTATGATTAAACATGAATAACACACGCGGATTTATTCAATCAAATAACAAGTAAACATAACAACAAAACATACACTTCTTACGCAAATACAAAAAAAGTTAAAATTACAAAAGTTTTAGTTTAGTCGTCCCTCAAAGCATTGACTACAAACAGAGCTAACATATTCGAGACCCAGGAATTTACTACAAATTTTGCAGCTATATTTTGTTTATGAGAGGTACAAATTTGGCAACGCCCGACTTGTGGCAAATCCTGATGTTATTGGGGATAGCTTCCATATGTGTTGTATTCTTTCTCGGATAGGATGTGGTATATGTTGATTTGCTTGTCGTCTTTTTTTTTATTTTTTTATTTTTTTTTATTATCCTTTGTATTATTTTTTTGATATTGTATTTCATATGTATATATATATTATTATTTTGTTTTGGTCTTTTTTTATATTAATTTTGTTTTGCATATTTTTTGTTTTATTTGTTTTTTTTTGTTTCTTTTTTTCCATTTTTTTTCATTTTTTTGTATTAAAAAGGTTTATTACATGATTGATATGTTCGCAAATTGCTTACAAGTTTTATCTTAATTCTAGGGTTAGTACATGACATTGTTTAAAGTTTATATTTACAATTTCTTATTAACTGATAAATACAATTAAAGATTTCAAGTTTCCAGAGAAAATTAATTCATTTATGTGAAATGGGAAACAGACATTTAGTTTTCTTAAGTTTTCATAAAAACATCTAATATTTCCTTGTTGGTTTACACATTCTAATAGGATATGTGTTGAATCTTCATATTCACAGTACAGTTTGGAGTGTCTGCTAGATCCATTTTGTACATTCTTGAAGGTGTTAGAGTATGATTTGACCTTGGCCTAATAATAGTTTTATTAAAACTTCTGTTGGACTCTGAATAAAACCACCTTTTTTAAGAAGTGTGGGTTGCCAATATTTAAATGATGAATGACTTTCGGATTCCGTATAATTGGCTGGCCATTTTAATTTTCAGCCGATGTTTACTATATACATCTATATCTGATACCGGTAGACTATTGTAGTACCCAGAATGGCCTTTGATCCATGCGATAATAACTTCTACCACGAGCTTTGAAACCTCGTAGTACAATTTTAATATGTCTATTGCTTGATTGATATCAAGATGAGTCAATTGCTTGGATTTATTTGTTTCACATAATCTTTCTACTACACTTTTACTGTCTGTAAATATTACACAGTTCTTCATTTCCTTTGTCAAAACGTGAGAAAGAGCAAACTTTAAACCCACCATTTCGGATGTGTAGATGGAGGCTTCATCAGGTAACTTATATTTATGCTGTTGTCCAGAATACTGTTGGTATACTGCGCAAGCAATATGATTTCCTTTTTTTAAACTATCGGTAAACATATAATAATTATTAGGCCATCTCTTCTGAATTTCTGCGTTAAACATGTGCTTATCGTCTTATCGCATGTTTTGTTATAAGACCTCTGGATAGTTCTGTCTAAAAACTTCTACTGCGATATGCTCTTTCTTCTTTTTGATTACATTTGTAAATTACAAATGCGTTAATACCTGTCACATTGAGTAGGGTGTAAAAGACCACCATCTTCTAGCATTGTGAGCTACGTTGTATCTTGATCATAATTGATCGACCATGTCAATTCTTACCTCGGTTTTGTTATAGTCAATAATCATCATAGATTTTTGTGTAGTTCCATCGATCTCGTCATCGTCATTTATGAAAGATACCAGAAGATCGTTTTTCTTCGGTTTTGGAACGTGTATTATGCTACACATGGTTGAAGTACAATTTTCCCTAAATATAAACATACTTAATGGACTTTGTTTATCTTGTACAAGTACTGGGGCGCTCCGCTGTCACCACTGTACAAGTCGGGGTGTATACCCTATTGTAAATCTGAGCTAGAGGGTGAGAAAATCTTCACCACTGTACAACGCTGTCACCACTGGAACATCCTCGATATGAACCTTAAGGATGCTTATCCCTGCGAGCGGCTGCAAGGTTTACTGGTCCCAATAGTCTGAACTGGCTGGTTCGCCTTAGTGGCTTTACGAGAAAGTAGGGACTTTCCGGGATAGGGGTTAAGGACTTCTAGGTCTCAGGTCCTGTAAAGAGTTGAGTCTATGGGCTTACTTGAGAAGCCGGAGATATGCATAAGCAGAAATTTTGTACTCTTCTGGTCTCTGTCTGAATCGGCCGAAGCAACATAAAAACCAAATTTAGGGTCTACAAATGTATTGAATATATATGTGGTTTACAACTAAGTTAACAAGCGTGTCAGATATAATCAATAATTCGTTCGGCGCGAAGGGAAACGAGAAGAGATCTTAGCAAGAAAGTAAAGGGTGACATCAGTACTACTATTTACGAGTTACTATATAGAATTTTGTTACCTTTCGCGTTTAGGCCAGTAATGATACGCCTTCAGTTCCTCTGGAAATCGAATTCAGTTGTGGAGGGTACCGCGCTCTGTCGCGATTTTCGAACTCCAGTACCCGACACTTATACGGAACTATATCCCGTCGAAATATAACAATCGCGCGTAATCCGCACCTGGTGTCGCCTTCGTCTGACCCCTGCCCGAAGACATGATGACCCCTTGACGCTACCGCGTCGAGCTTCCGGAGCCGGCAATTAGCCTCAGCGTCCTATACTACTGATCGTCTGGCCTCCTTCGTTCTTTGTTTTTATTGAGCTCGTATTCTCAAATGCCGATTGTGGTACCAAGGTCGAGTTTTTGCTGAGTCCTCATAATTTAAACCACGTTGGCGCTGGTGATATTTTCCAGCGTAGGTCTATGTTTATTAAAACGTGACTATTTTCTTTTTTGAACAATTGTTGCAACTGATATTGGCTCGTGCCATGCAACTAACTAGGTCAAATTGTTTTTCTTTGTATCATTTAAAATGTATACGTTACTGTATCGAATTTATTCTTTATTTAATTTGGAATATACAATAATTACTAAAATGATTATTATTCTCTCCTTATGCTACTGGCCCGTATTTTTTCTATTCTTTGTTTTCTTGCTATGTTTACATTACAACCTTGATCTTCAGTCAACTGGGAAGTAGCTGTTTCTGATTTATTCGTAATGTATACAAGAATGTTAGTTTACGCTTATTGAGTACTCTTTCGTATAGTTCAATACTAGTAAACCAGTTATCAGTGGTTATATTTCCGTTAGATCTACTTATTTGCTGAACGAGTCTACTAACCACATCAATCGCGGAGTTACTATGTTCAAATACAGAGCCATTTGGTTGTTTACCAACATATACCTGCATATTAGTGGTATCCAGCATTTCAGTATCTGCTAAGGAGAATATCCTAATCCCGTACTTAGCAGGCTTGGAGGGTACATACTGTCAAAATGGACAGTTGCCACTAAACGCTACTAAACGTATCTCAAATTGGAGTAGGTTTATCTACAGCCTTTCTGGTTCCTTGTGTATTGCAGTAATCAACCTTTAGATGCCAGAGGAGAAAAATGGAACGTTGTTGTGACATGATTAAACGAAACAACTCTGGTGAATCATCGGTAACATCAAAAATTTACATCATCAATTCAATCTGTTCACTTTCTAAGCTCATAGCAATAGCTATCAATCAAACTTGGTAACAATGGTATTAATAATAAAGTCGTCAAAAGCTTTCTACATGTTTCTAATGGTTGGTCCAATTGCGGGTAACCCGTTTTGGTTCCAGTAATTGTGTGACAGAAATGAAATGTTTATAAATCCTATTTGGATTTTACGATCGGTTTGGCCTATGTAAGATCGGGAACAATCTGCACAAGGACTTTTATTCTTCTTCTTCTTGATGTGCCTATCCGTTACGAATGTTGGCTATCATCATGGCAATCTTTATTTTATTTTCAGCAGCGAGGAAAAGCTGTACAGATATTGTATTGAACCATATTCTGAGTTTCTTTAACCAAGACGTTCTTCTTCTTCGTGGACCTCGTTTTCCAAATATTTTTCCTTGCAGGATGGCTTGAAGGAGAGCATATTTTATAGTTGTTCTTTATTTGGAACGCTGTCTTTAAATATTATCAGACAAGAGATAAAAGGCGATATTTGTCGACAACAAAATTTTTGTCTCTTTGCCCATCAATCAAAGACAACATACCAAATAAACAACACAGGATTTGGGAAATTGCCTGTACAGACTGACCCCCATCTTATATAGGCCAAACCAATTGCAGATTTTAAAATAGGATTTATGAACATTTCATTTCTGTTCGCAATTCTAATTCATTTTCAGCTTTACGTTAAAACCATCTCCATACACGTCACAAACTTGATTTTTAAAAACACTAAAACCATAGCCCGTATCTG